TAGCATTTCTTGTCCTCAGACATTTTGACTTTAGATAGGTAGGTGTACATAAAAGTAGAAAGAAAGAAAGAAAGAAAGAAAGAAAGAAAGAAAAATATTTTAAGTACATTAGATTATACAGAATTTGTTCATTTAAATTTCTAAATACTGTGATATTTGCACTGTATTTGACAGAATATCAATTGATAGGCATTATTTTGTAGTCATAGGTTATTCATATAGAAAAGTATTTCAATTATACCTTTTTTATTTACTTTTCTATGACATTAAACTCGACTTACTGTTATTATGAGCCTATAGTTAGCCATCGTCTTACATAGGTAAGAAATACCATCAAATTGCGAACATACAACATATACATATAACAACAGCGAAATAAAGTTTTCAATCAATCTATTATAATTTAGGCATGTAGTGTTGCTTTCAACATCTTTGAAATTAGTAATTAATTAGTTGGCGGGTAAATTTAATATATGACAATATTAATCTCGTTGTTATTTGCTCAGTAGACACGATTACAGTAACTAGCGTGTGCGGTGAAGTTACGACAAGAGCTAATAAACATTATCGTAATGATAAATACCTTTTTAGTATATCAAAATGCATAACTAGGTCAAAATTATAAGAAGGTACTTAGACCAGGATAGCAGGGACAAGCAATTCATCTACATATTATACAAGCAACAATAGTAAGTTTAACATTAATAATAAATGAATATAGGTACCTAACTAGTATATATGAAATCTCACCTTTAGTCAAATGTTTCGTATTGACATTGATTTTGCCTTTGACAGCTTTGGTAGACATGGTTAGGTGAGACGTGTATCCTAGGAAACGAGCCACTGGTCGAAGGATTCTAGAGGACGTCATAAATATATGAAATGCTAAGCTGAATGTTAATGTTATCATTTTTAATAAGGTGGGGGAACTGATGAGTTTACGAAAAATATACAAATCACTGAGATAGCAGCATATTAAATGCTGATAAATTGGGCTAAAATGCGCTGTCATTCAACGTATGTAGAAATTTCATGAATCGATATTTATTAGAGATACCATTGTTAATACATTCAGACACTAATGTTACTATATATATATAAATATGCAAAGACTTGATTTGTGATTTCAAATTACTGAGGGGTTAAACGTTAAATTATGGAGATTTTAAATCTGGAGATAGATTTGAGCTAGGCAACTATAGACCAATTTCTATTTTGCCAGTTCTAAGTAAAGTATTTGAAAAGATTATGTTTAACCAAATGTTAAAATACTTCAGGGATAACGGACTGCTTCACAGTCAGCAATATGGTTTCACTGCCGGCAAGTCTACTACTGATGCAGGCGTAGCGCTTATTACACATATATTCGAATCATGGGAAAACTCACAGGATGCTCTCGGCGTTTTTTGTGACTTGTCGAAGGCGTTTGATTGCGTAGATCATGAAACACTTTTGTACAAGCTCAAACATTATGGTATTAGAGATAATGACCTAAGTCTAATGAAAACTTATCTAGAGGATAGGGTGCAAACTGTAGATATTGATGGTGTAAAGTCTAAGGGAACTAATATAAAAATGGGCGTTCCTCAAGGTTCAATATTAGGCCCGTTTCTCTTTTTAATTTATATAAATGACCTTCCCTACATGGTAGAGAAAGTTGCAGATATAGTGTTATTTGCGGATGATACTTCGTTAGTGTTTAAAATTGGTCGCCAATGTAATCAATTAGACGATGTAAATTATGCTATCTCTGCTATACTAAATTGGTTCACATGTAATAATCTATTATTGAACTCCAACAAAACTAAGTGCATTAAATTCACGCTGCCTAATGTAAAACAAGTAAATACGCAGCTATTGCTTAATGATGAAATAGTAAATTTTGTTAATGATACAGTTTTTTTAGGAATAACAGTGGACTCGAAGTTACAATGGGGGCCCCATATTTCAAAATTAGCCAGTAGACTTAGTTCTGCTGCTTATGCAATTAGAAGGATAAGGCAATTAACAGACGTGGCGACGGCAAAACTTGTATATTTTAGTTATTTCCATAGCATTATGTCATATGGCATACTGCTATGGGGTAAAGCTGCCGATATAAATACTATATTTATTTTACAAAAGAGAGCCATACGTTCTATTTATGGTATGGGTTCTAGAGAGTCATTACGTCAATGCTTTAAACAATCAAATATCCTCACCGTTGCCTCACAGTACATTTATGAAAATATTATGTATACAAGGAAAAACTTAGATAGTTTCAAGAAACTTAAAGACTGTACAAGTAGAAACTTACGCAATAAAAATAAGCTAATTTTACCTAAATGCCGTCTACACAAAGTTAGTAATTCATTTTATGGTAATTGCGTAAGATTCTATAATAAACTGCCAGAGTCTACGCTAAATCTTACAGAGAGGCAATTCAAATCTTATATTAAACAAATGTTATGTAAAAAAGCCTATTATAAGATAGATGAATTTATAGATGATAGCAATATATAGCAAGAATAAGTTTACTTGCGGACAACGTTATAATTTTAATTTTCATACTGCTTTCTTGATATATGATAGCGTAGCGGCTTTTGTATTGATTGCCGCATGCATCCTTATGTAAAGTGCGAATACTGTAACTACCATATAGTAATTTTTATAGCTGTGACGTGGTCGTGTGGAATGAGTAGTCATGCTCACTAAAATGTCCAGACATGTGGCGGCGTGGTGGGCCGGGTCAATGGGCTCCCTAAAATATGGTCGAGCGCAGTGATGGCTGGCTCATCCGTCATACTCGTGAACGAGTGCTGCTTGTAGGGACTGGTCTGCTCTTATCACTACGACTGATTTAATCTTATTGCATATTTATATTTGACCCAAAAATTAGTGCTTGTTGGTAGTTTGTATTCACACGTTTCGACTTGTAAATGTAAACTTACAAGGATTATTTAAAAGAGCAACACACAAGTTTCTTGCTCGTTCTTCTTGTGATGAGACAGCTTTCCGAACGAGTGGTAGATAAAAAACAAATTGTTATGACTATTCAAAAGTGCTTAAATTAAGTTTATTTGAATAAATGATTTTCTATTCTATTCTATTCTATTCTATGTTTAGTAGTATAAGTAGTAGTAAGTATGACGGTTAATCCTTTTACACGCTGGCATAATGTCGATGTGTCGATAGTAAAATATAACATAGGTGGTTACTTCCTTTGACTATCATAGATTTAGACATCCATATATCTATTTACTCAATTAGTTACCATGACAGTTGAATATAATAATGCAATGTATACTAACTGGTAGAGTTAGAGTTACCAGTAGTTCCTCATTTCGATCGTCTCATACATCCAGGAGTTTAGGACACCGCTTTAAGTACTTGCTTGTAAGTTACGATAGAATGTATTTCGATTATAGACTTAACTTCCACCACCATCTCAGTATCACTACCGAGAGGATTCGTAAACTTATTTAGGTACGTCTTTAGGAGATTGCGTCATGTAGCTGTTGTGAATATTGTTAGCATGGTCTACATAGCCCTCGGTCAATCCCTTCTTACATATTGTATCACATCATGGGGAGGTGATAGCAAAATGTCGCTATTAAAATTAGAAAGAGCACAGAGAGATCTTCTCAAGATGTGTACATTTAAGCCCATATTCCCCGCTTTTTACGTTATACACTACCCTTTTTACTTGGAGAAAATTACTCATGGTGATCCGCCCGCCCCGGGGGAGGCAAGCGGGTACTATGCTGGGACTGCTACTCAGGGACCGATGTCAGTCCACCGCGGCTCCAATGGCGGTAGCCCACTCTAGCAGCGGGCCTCATCTTTGCGTGTTCCAAGTTATATACCACCCTCAAACAACGCACCATAACTACCCCCAATCCACTTCTATATGAAAACTCAGTTTTCTCATCGATTCTTTTCGTCCTGCATCACGAATTGAACATTCTACAACTAACAAGATTTCAATGTAGACTCAAATTGACAAATTACTTAAAATTATCAAGACACAGAGAAACTATTACTTGCATAAACGTACTTACTACATATCATTACAGTTTCACACACGCGTATAACATTACTACATATACCTATATCTTTATATATAAAAATTACATGTCACGTTGTTTGTCGGCGATGGACTCTACTACTACTACTACTAAACCAAATGCAAATTTGATTTGCACATTGCGTGTAATTTGACCAAGTTGAAAGATAGGATATATAGCTTACATCTCACTTTATAGTCGCAATATTATTTTATTGCAAATTATTTAAGATATTAAGAACCTTAGCTACAGCAACGTGTAGCCGGGTCTCCTAGTAGATATATATTTATTATACCTAAGATATGAGATACTATCGACACTTAGATGTTGCCATAAACTTACTGTATAAACCTATGTAGAACCGTACAACCGAGGGGTGAGTACTGGTCTACTGATATATACAGGTCTCGTGCCTAATACAGTTCCCAGGATCATACAATCACAACAAATTGTTTATGAAAAGGAATTAAGTCCTGTATATGATTGTGACTAATAAAAGTGTATTATTATTATTATGTTAAAGCGACCATGCGACTCAATGCGGCAATGGCGCTTGTAGCTACAGCGTGTGGTTTTTTAGTGGGTAAGAATATCACACAACCCTTATGCCAGAAGGGTTTTTTGAATATTTTTCCACATGATAAAAAAAGGTACTGGCTTGCATATACTATAATAAAATGCATAATTTTTGTTATTTTCTGTAAAGCTAATCACCGAAAGGTGCATTTTAATATCTCCAAACAGTTAGAATTTTATACGCGTCCATATATTTTAATTTTTAGCAAAAACATTCAAAAGTGTCCTGCTAGTTCAAAAATATCGGAAAATCTAAACATCGCTGAACAGCAGAAAATGTTTATACCTGTCCTATATTGGTATATATTGCTATTATATCATAAATAAAATAATATTATTGTTATAATAATAAATGAGGACAAAAGTAATACTAGGGTATATGAATAAATATGTATGTATATTAACATATATTAAGTATCTATATTGCCAACTGTTTTTGAATTGAACGAAATAAAATATTACATTGTACTTTTTGTAGCAAGAAAATAATAATGAAAATAAATTATAATTTATTCCTTCTTCTTTCTGGGGCGCATGCAGCAGACTTCACTTGAATCGAGCATGTTGTAGTCGGGGTCCCCTTTAGCACGCGACTCAGTAAATTTAGCATGAGTTTCTGCAGGCAGACGATAAGCTTTTACAGCAGGCACATTTTTCATTGCTTCAATGTAGGTAGTCTGAAAAACAATAAAATAAAATAATGTAACCGAATTAAAAAAATATATTATCAGAACCGAAATGAATTTAAAAATGCCGACTTCTACCTTACTAGTGCAATTTTCTTGCGCAAATAAATCAATAAGAAAATATCACATTTTGCCATCTACATGTTTACAATTATTATTACTAGCAAGAAATTTAAGTATATACTGTTGACTTAATTATTGATTGCCATGGCATACGTAAATATTTACGGAAGTCTTTTTGTCGTTTGAATATATTTGTGGGTACTTACTAAAATTTCGTATTTTGCCTTGTCAATAGCAAACTCCGTTTTACCCAGCAAAGGCAGAGCCTCAAATCGTTCCAAGAAAGGCCAAATTGTATAATCAACTAAACCAGGCTCACTGCCATTCAAATATTTAGTACCGCGCGTCTCCAATTCCTTTTGTAGTCCATCAAGGCCTTTATGGTAGTTCTCTACACTCGAGGGTTGTAGGGCTGGGGCATTGAAGGCAGCTGTGTAGTATGCTGATTGAGCCTAAGCATAAATATTATTACATTGTTTTTTATTACTGGAAATCTTGAAAGATTATACAATAGTTTCTTATATATTGATAGACACTATCAGTGAAGATTATTCATTCACATGTTCAATATGATACATATAAAATTACATGGTTAATTTTCCTATAATAAATAAAATAGTAATCAAGAATGATAATATATAAAAGTGTTTTTTGATCAATGTTTGTTGTGTGTGAGTGACATCAGATATACAAATAAATCAATGGTACATGCTGACCAACAAAAATATTATCAATGCAATATCATCCACACCAACAGATAGCAATGGAAATGGTTTGTAATGGTCACAGTGAGGTTAGATAACAAGAGGTAGATGATTGTATAATGAGGACCACCAGTATTAAATTTATAAAATATGGCATTATTTTTTTATTTCGTTAAGACACATTCAGTCATTTTACTTGTGACAAGGGAATAAACAGACAGAAAAACACTTTCACATATATAATAATTATTAGTATACATACACCAGAAAAATTCTCAACCACAATCTTATCTTGAGCTCTGCGAAGTGGGTCAGTTGATTGCAATTGCACATCAGGATATTTCTCATCCAAGTACACATTGATGATGTTGCTATCAAATATTGCTTTGCCTTGCTCATACTCTAGTGCTGGTACAGTACCTATACAAATACACATAATTTTAATAAAAATAGTGAGTCAAAAATATGACCTGTAATATGACCTAATATGAAAATATGAGTCGTCCAAAGTTTATTCCACACCATGCTTCCAATCATTGTGGGATCAATTCTTCACACCCAACAAACATTTGTATTCATGTGTATGATTGGTTATAATGTTCATGGTGTTTTACACATATATGTATTTTCTTTGTATGCATATATGTATTAGTCATTATGTAACTAAAGCTCTGCTTAGCTTAAAACAAATTGGCCTGTGTGAATTGTAAAAAAAAGTATGAAGCAGAAGAACAATACTAATACTATGTTTAGTAAATAATACCTGAGCCTGCAACTTCAGCATTATCATTGTTAAATTCATAATTTTTCATGAAATTAACAATGATTATGCTGACTTCAACATAGATTTACACTCCATTCATTGCATTCATAGGTCAGCTCATACATGTGTAATGATGACTCCATATCAAACTCAACAATGCTGTGATGGGGTAAGGATTGTTAATGATTTCTTCTTTTTATTTCCATGTCACTGACCTAATTTTCTGATCATCTTCCACTGGTGCCCCGCCAGCATATTCTCAGGAGGATGCTACATACCATATTCAGATGTATTAAAAACACATTTACATGCTAAATATATGTATGTATGTATCAATACCTACCATAATTTAAATTTAAAATAAAGTATGTAAGGACTTATTTATTGTAATAAGTTTACCTTTAGGGCTGAAATTGAATAACCATTCTGGTTTGTGGTCTAAATTAATAAACACTAAATCATACTGCAAATTTTTCGCATTCAAAACTAAAACAGTTCTTTCAGCATATGGGCAGAATCTCATAGCAAATAATCTCAATTTGCCACTATATTGAGGCAGGACATCACCTAAAACATCAAAAATTATAAATACATGTGATTAACTCAGATGTCAGATAAAATTAATAAGAAATCAAAATAAGAAAACAAAACAATATTATAATCACTTTATACACAGTGATAAAATAATTAAATATCTGTTGTACAACTATCTGATCTGATCAGCGAGTATATAATTCTTGGGGGCATTGCACCCGTGAATTAAGATAAAAACTTAATTAGAATTCAATTAAAAGAAAGTCAAACTAATGCATAGTTTGACTTTCTTTTAATTGAATTCTAATAATAGTATTATAATAATAGCGTAATAATTACATTGTGAATAGATTTTAAATTATTATTTAAGTAATATTTCAACAAATTAGGTACACAAATACATATATTATTAATTCATCTTACCGGCTTGTAAATGCTTCTCGGACATAACTAAATAGGAATACCTGTCACAATGTAATAAAATGTTAATAGAGTAGAAATACTAAATTATGGATTAGAACACTGAAAACGTATTTATTTCAAGTCGATAAGTATCAGACTGAGACGAATAAATCAGGAAGGAAAATACGGTAAAAAACTATTTGTTGATTGCTGACAGGTTATATAGCAACCGCAGATGAGTCGAACAGGTTTTAATTTTTTTTTAAAAGTTATTTACGGCTCTGGAAATTTCCTTTCAGTCAATAATATATTTAATAACCAGTGTTACTAGGTAACCACATAGCTTTACTTCTAAATTTTATTCTAAAGCCCCCTAAAATTAATATCAATTATTTTTAAATTGAATAAATTATAATGTCTTTATAGTTAAGTAGTAATCATCAATATCTTTTTTTTTCATACTAACTAAAAAACGGTACTACTAACTTATTAAGAATTTTGTCATACAATTGGGAACTCAAATATAGGAACTTTAGTGATACAATAGTTGAAATAGTAATATTATTTCACATCTGTGCAATTTGCACAGTACTGAATCTCTCCACTTTGCTACACAAGTGTCAATTCAAAAGTAATATTGTTGTCAATACCAATTAAAGACAAAATCATTCAGCTATGTTATCAACTTTGCCAGCTATAAGAAATATTCAAAAACCAGGAAATAATATTTAAAAATTCATAAAATAAGGCACTAGGTTTTAAGTAACACTCAATAGTAAATATTAGAATCTTCTTAGTCTATTTTTGTAATTAATTTTAAGACTACCCCCTTAAGAGGCTCAGTTCTTTTAATTATAAAACTGCAATGGTGCGCTCGTCTGCTCTAACGCTTTTGTTGGCACCAGTGGGGGATGGTCAGATGAACATGAGTTCAAATAGCCTGTCATGATAAATTTGTTACGATGGAAACGCGTGCTCCAACTGCTCAACCATACATAGGGGCCGTTCAAGTATTACGTAAGCACTATAGGGGGGCGGGGGGTCTTTTCTTTGCTTATTTTGGATGACATGGGGGTGGGGGAGTCTGTATGATGATTACGTCATCGGTCGTAATTTACTTTTTTACACGAATGGCAACCCTCACATTGTCTTTGTTAAAAAAACAATACATTAATTAAGAAATGTTTACGTAAGCATGGGTGGAGGGGGTAAGAGCTTTGCTTACTTTTGCTGACAAGGGGGATGGGGGGTAAATAATTGTGATAAATCTGCTTACGTAATACTTGAACAGCCCCATAGTACAGCTAGCTTCGGGTTCATAGATCCACATTACTAACAATCCCCTTCTCCCCTAAGAGGCACAATTCCCCGAGGGTGGTTGCATTCTCCTAAGGAGTGCGGAAGACAATGTCTGTCATCGATAGGTAACATTATGCTATGAAACACTTGGGGGTATACTGATGATGTAAGGAAAACTATCACAAACAGCTGTATAAAATAAAATTTTATTCAATAAATATGAAACACAACCAAAAATTTAACATTTAGTAGTGTGCCATTTCACAAATTAGCTTTTCATAATATTATTGCAATAATTGATTTTTTTTTAATTTACTATGACAATTTAATTTTGTTGAGATTCAATATTTTAATTAAGCAAAGAAAATTAAAATTAGCATATTGAAATGACTATAAAGCACAATTACATATATTATCTGCAAAAAAATAAGTAGGTACACATTACATATATGGGAAGTGTGATCAAATCTTTCATGTATTTGTGGTCTACAAAGTATAGTATTATACTTTCACATGAAATATTTTAGATGCAGTTTTTTCTGCTGTTCGTAGTCAGCGTTCCCTGGCGGAAGCTACTTGGATACTGCTTAAATATGACTACTTCGGCATAGATACTACCTTTGAGGTTTCAGGGCCCTCTATTCGCTGTAGTCCATTTTTCACAAAGTCAACTAATAACTCAGATTAACAACTCCTTATTATAAAAAATACAAAATATTGTTTAGTGCATATAGGAAGCTCTAAAGATGATAACGACTTCAGGCTCATAACATTATAATTAACAGATACAAATGTATTTGACACAATAAGTGGTAAAACAGCCCAAAAAGGGATAACAATAGGTTTCTCATTTATTACAATAATAATGGATTAATAAATTATCACTGTCCTACATTTCACATTAATATATTTTTCATGAAGCAGATAACAACTTTAATTGTAAAAGGATTTTGTGCTCTTATAGTTTTGCCTTTGTATTGTGGCCACTTCCAGACATCATATTTTGGATTTTCGCTACCGCTGGACCATAAAGAAAATATTTCACAAAATCATCAATTTCATGTCATAAATAAATGGCGCTTAATTATTCCGATTAGTTACAAACATAAATAAATTAGTGTAAAAAATATTGTAAATTCTATTGAATCACCAAGAAAACAGAAAAGAGATAATTAGTTTGCTGGAGTCTGAAATACTTTTTATTTATTTTCTACTTTTTAGGCTCACTGACAAATTTTAAAACAATTATATTTAATGTATAATGAATTCTTATTGCACTTCACTTTGTACCTTTCCACAAACAAAATCTTAATCACTATATAAGTACAATATAAATAGTTTAAATTAACACTATATATAATTTGGAATGCATAACATTATTAACTGTATCTATAGTTAAAATTAAATGATTAAAATGTATTAGTTTACAGAGTATTTGTTACAACGTAATTAAGTGAATTTCAACACATAATTTGGAGCACAATAATGAGGAGAAATAAAACGTGCCCAGTTTCTAAGACTGGAACGGATAACATTCGTAAAACAGAGTATTTAAAATTCCTGTATATCAATATTTTATTCATAATCAATCTAAAAAGTTATGTGTACATTGTTTTTTTGTTTAGTAAACATATACAATATAAAATCGACCGAAGTATGTACAGGTAAAATTAAATTATGATAGTAAATCCGTTATATATTAACTGCTTATGTAATAACTGCAGCTGGGAAACGATTTCAGTAGGATGCAAAATAATAAAATTTAACTTAACAAAATAAGATTCAAATTTAACAATTTTTCCATATATATTGTGATAGTTTGTAAAAATATACATCTTGAAAATATAACTGAATTCTGTCTTTACATTTATAGACAATTATTCAATTTGATAGAACATACTAATGTGTATCAATGTGTCAGATTGCTAGATTGAGCTCGAATTGTTTATATTTATAGAACATTTTAGTACATTATTTAAGTACATTTACATTTCAACGATTAAAACATTTATAGTATGTATTGATTTTACACTTATTATATTATTTACATTATATTCTTTTACATAAATATTAATAAAATATTTCGAAGTAATTTAAGCCGCTAATTTGACTGGGTCTTTGTGCTACATTACTTCCAATTGTTAGGTTTTCTTTTTAAAAATATTTTGCAGGTTCATATTAGTCTTAGACTGCTGGAACATCTGTGTTACTCGCCTGCCGACCTCCTGTGCCGTGTGGAGGTTGGAAGCTGGCCGAGCGTCCCGAGCGGGTTCCGGCGCGCCTACCACGTTGTGCACGAGAACTTCAATGGCTGGCTTAAACTGCGACAAAGATGGAGCTTGTACCGTTTCTTCTAGTTTCCTATAAAAATATATATATTGTGATAAATATGATTTTATGTCTTCAACATTGATTAAGACTAATTTTATGTGTTGTGTTTGTGCGTTTTGTCTACGTGTATGTGCCGGAATACCACCTTTATGAATTAACCAGAGGTAGGCTGTAAAAATTCCTCTGCGTGAGTACCTCCATTCAGTCGCTAATCAGCTTACAGTGTAAGCTAGAGTATCGTAGTATAGGGTCAGATTAGCCAGTGAATTTACAGAATAAGAGGCATGATATCTTCTCCTCGTCCTCTGAAATGCATGAGTGATACTGCGGGTATCACATAATAACGCGACGTTCTATCATTTATTATGATATATTACATACAAATATATATACAAATGTAGTCAAATTATAATTATTATTAAAATAATAGCTGTTCAATTCAAGTAGGTATAGATTATATTGCCTACTAGATTGTTTGCCATTCTGTTAACATGAAATAAAATAAATTATAGTTAAATAGACAGACAACAATCAGCAATACCTGAGCGCTGGGAGGAGAGCAGGATGATGCCTACTATGGTGATGCGCGAGTTGCAGCCCAGGCACCAGCGCCGCAATGGTCTCTGCCGTCGTAGCGTAGTTACACAGCTCGCATAGCATGCTTATCGCTGTAATATACAAAATCATTAATATTATAGATCCACAACAAACGGGGCTCCGTAACTCAATGATAGGTGAAAAATGAAAGCATGAAAGATTAGTTAGTACTCCGGGTCCATTGATCGAACACTCGGTTGGCTGCTAGTACTAGTCTAGTCACGTGGTGCAGATAGTCACTGGCGAGCACGCTGGCGGCCTGCAGCACGGCCACGTGGTGCACATAGTTACCGGCGGCGGGTGCGGGCAGCACGAGCAGCGCGAGCGCGTCGGCGGCGCGCGCTGCGAGCCGCGCGGGCTGCGGGCCGGCGAGCACGCTGGCGGCCTGCAGCACGGCCACGTGGTGCACATAGTTACCGGCGGCGGGTGCGGGCAGCACGAGCAGCGCGAGCGCGTCGGCGGCGCGCGCTGCGAGCCGCGCGGGCTGCGGGCCGGCGAGCACGCTGGCGGCCTGCAGCACGGCCACGTGGTGCACATAGTTACCGGCGGCGGGTGCGGGCAGCACGAGCAGCGCGAGCGCGTCGGCGGCGCGCGCTGCGAGCCGCGCGGGCTGCGGGCCGGCGAGCACGCTGGCGGCCTGCAGCACGGCCACGTGGTGCACATAGTTACCGGCGGCGGGTGCGGGCAGCACGAGCAGCGCGAGCGCGTCGGCGGCGCGCGCTGCGAGCCGCGCGGGCTGCGGGCCGGCGAGCACGCTGGCGGCCTGCAGCACGGCCACGTGGTGCACATAGTTACCGGCGGCGGGTGCGGGCAGCACGAGCAGCGCGAGCGCGTCGGCGGCGCGCGCTGCGAGCCGCGCGGGCTGCGGGCCGGCGAGCACGCTGGCGGCCTGCAGCACGGCCACGTGGTGCACATAGTTACCGGCGGCGGGTGCGGGCAGCACGAGCAGCGCGAGCGCGTCGGCGGCGCGCGCTGCGAGCCGCGCGGGCTGCGGGCCGGCGAGCACGCTGGCGGCCCGCAGCACGGCCACGTGGTGCACATAGTTACCGGCGGCGGGTGCGGGCAGCACGAGCAGCGCGAGCGCGTCGGCGGCGCGCGCTGCGAGCCGCGCGGGCTGCGGGCCGGCGAGCACGCTGGCGGCCCGCCAGCACGCGCCCTCGCAGGGCCAGGCTCGCGTCACGCTGGCTCGCGTCACGGCGCCCCACGCACTCACGGCCGCCTCTCGCACCGACCTGTTCACGTATAACCATCACTCGCACACGGGGATATAAATATCGAGTCCATATATAACGTCAAGAATTTTCACTAATTAAGAATATGCATAATTTATTTTCGCCCTGGAATTTGGAAGTTTGTCACGATGGGCTAATTGACCTCGCCATGCCCATCTTATCATTCTCCATTGGTGCACACCTGGCATTAAACTTTTGTGCAGGTAGGTGTACCATTCATATTTGTATAGATATAATCTATAAACAACAACAAGCTGAAATGATGATAATGAGAATTAGAAAAATAAAAACACTCACAGGTCGTTGTCATGAAGCAGTGCGGTGATAGTGGGCAGCAGCTGGTGTTCGACGCAGCGTTGTCCCACGTCCACGGCGTTGAGCACCTCTGCTATCAAGTGGCCGATGTACACGCGGACCGTAGACGCACTACTACTCTCGCAGCTGCTCACAGTAACTATAGGGAACGATAAATATAAGTGATATTTATCTACTATCATTGCAGTAAGAAATGTGGCCATTTGTTAAGAGAAAGAATTGGTATGTATGCCGCTAGAGTAAAACCAGTGACTTAATGCTAAACATACCCTTATAAGACAACTAGCTAAATATTAGACATGGAGCTAAACCACCTCCCCATATAATACTTTAATGATATGGGGAGGGTAAATCACCCTCACCCATCCATGTACTTCATGGATCAAATCACCCTAAACATCATTAAATTTGTAAATGCTGATAATAATATCAGTGTCACGACATCTAGAGTAATAGATATTCTTACGTTCTCTTAGCTCTTGAAAGTAGAACTCGAGCATGTCAAGTCGATTATTGGCCACCCACTTTAATGGTAATGAGAATATCTTCGTTGGAAGCCCACGAATACTACAGTACATAATCCATCTGCAAAATAATATCAAAATGTTATATTTATTGAATGCAAATAAATAACATTAAATAGCTATGAAACATCATAACAATTAAGATTAGATGATAAGCCATGGAAAATCATGATTAAAATAATGTTGCAAGATTTTTTCAACACACTTGCTCGCAGGTCGTAAAACACGCATACATTACGCAATTAGTGAAGTTATATTACCATAATTATTTTCTATTTTTTTTTATCATATTTCGAATTGACCGCCGCTAGCTGCCAGCCAGTAGAAAGCACACCGATTTAAAAAATAAAACGACGGGAAAGCAACAGTATACATCACAGTTAAGTTTAAGTGTTATGAAAAACGTCGTAGGATAATATGCATGTATATAGTACGTGTGCTATAGTATACATGTATGTCACTTTCGGGTCTATTATGAAAATCTCGCCTCGTGTATTATAACCATCACAACGAACTGATATCATAATATATATATATATATATTAATAGAGTACTTATACCTACTTGTGCAGAGGTAAAAAACTAAATAAAGTCATAGTTCTACATAGTAGAAATGAATTTCAATTTTACATTCCGGATAATTGTAGATAAAGTAATCATTGGATATCCAAAAACTATTTTCATTATTTCATTAATATTTACTAGAAAACACAGAAAAAAGAAACAAAAACTTACTTTTGTAAAAATTCTCCATGCAGTGTCTTGTCTTCAAGTGGAGGTAATATAGCCACTAAATATATTCCCACAACAACAGTACTATCTACATTAATACTATGCAATTTTTCCATTTTATGTTCTAAATCCACAAGAATATCACTAAATATTGGCCTCATTATGTTCGAAGTGAAGTGAACGCCAAAGTTATCTACGTAACTATTGAAAAGTGTTATAAGGTTCTCATATATAACAGAATGATTCAATAATTTATTACTTGTTGACACATCCAGAATTTGCTTAATTCTGAAAAAAAGATGTGAATATTTATAAAAATGTCATGTATGTAATAAAATGTATTATTATTGTAAGATTACATACTATTGAAGGAAGTTGTCAATTAGTACTTATAGAACTTATATTTGTTTATGAATACGGGAAAACTGAACAGCTAAATTTATTTCTGTTTTAGTTTGAATTAAGTTAAAAGTTGAGATTATTTTATGACGTACATAAAAGTAAATGCTTGTTGTAGCATTATTTTATACAGAAGTTAGATTTTTTATACTTTAATTATAAAACACTAATTTACAAGTACTTACAAGGCAATGAACCATGTTAACTCTGACCATCGAACATCTGGCTTCTCTTTAATAACTCTATTCATTGAGCCTAATAAAGCCTTTAAATCGGTACCATCCGTCACATAACATTGTATATCTAGAAAGTGTTCTTGATCACACTCCAAGGGCACTTCTTGTAAATTAATTGACATATCACAATTGCCCATGTTTACTTCTCGAATTATTTGTACATTAACTACATAGGCCAATTTAGCTAGAACTAATACTTGCATCACATCTAAATACAATATAGCAGTCTTCGTATCATTGTCAGACAATGATTTCATGAAATTCGTTATCACACGGCTGCACAGATCTGAGAACTTCCCTGAAACAGTTCAGTTAGTGTTGAGTCAACATATACACTAACATTAAAAAGGTACAATTTATTTGTTTGTTGAGTTTATAGTTGTTGACGGCCTCGGTGGTCTAGCGGCATAGCACACCGTCTTACTTCTGATGGTTGCGGGTTCAATTCCACACACAGCATAAACATTTGAATTCATTATTGTTTGTATCAGTATGGGTGTTTTCTATGTAATATATATAGTATTTCCGAAAAAAATCTATGTATTTGTATAAGTTATCAAGTACCCATAACACAAGCTTTAAGTTTAACTTGGGTCTAGATAGCACTGTGTGAATTGTCCTGAGATTATTACTATTATTGTTTATTTGAATGTGTTATCTCAGGAACAACTAATTCGAATTGAAAAATTATTTCAGTCCATTTATCAAGAGAGACAATAGACTAGATATGCAATGTCCAATAAGAGCGGAGAGAAGTAGCACAGACCAGCCAGTTAATACTTTACATGAATAGGCTCTGTGATAATCCGTCACGAAAAAATTCTAATGAATAATATACTAATTTTATATACCTGCAATCATAGCATTCCTCGCTAGTACCGGAATAAATATATTAACAGTATCTTTCAAATTTTTTTCTAATGGATCCTTTAGGAAGTTGAACATGAGATTCTCTAGTTGTCCATATTTATGGTCTGCAACGGGACAAATTAGGCAGGCAGACTTCAGTCCTAGGCTTCTAATTTCTCCTTCATTAGACTCGCACATTAATACCACTAAGCTGAGAAGCAGAGATGTACATAACTCGACGGGAACGTATGGCGCGATGGCTACGCATATCTGGCTTGCAAGTAGCCGACGTTCCGTAGATCTCGAAGTTAATAGTTCTGCTATGGATGATAACACTTCTCCGCTACCGCCCCATTTCACAACAAGACAGGTTGCTGAAATATAATAAAACTTCAATGAGTTATTTTAATAAATTTTTAAAGTAGCACATGTTATATGGAGAGGAGTCGCGAACATGGTGTCTTAAGCAATCATACTTGGTACCTTCGCATATGGCTCGTGCGTCGTGGGGCTCGGGCTTCTTGAGGAGCGTGAGCAGCGTGTGAAGAAGACGAGCGCGGCGCGGCTCGGCCGCCGGCAGAAGTGCCGCAGTCGCTGCCAGCAGCGCAGCTGATTCGCACCGCCGCACCGCCGGCACTTGCCACACCACCTGTACCATTAATGATAACAAAAGGTAATAATAGTCCCAACCTCTCAACTACATGTGTCATACAAAAACAAATCGGCCCGGCGGAGACGCAAACATTGTTTTGTATTATTAATTTGTAAGGAACATTTTGGAGTCCAATTCAATTATTTGGGATCTACATGAAACAAAGTAATTAATCTGTACTTGGTATGATAATTATAAATTTTTGTACCCGTCACTATTTGTATCCGGTATGCTAGGTATGAACACATTAGAGCGTATCGTTAGTTGTTGCAGGACAGACATCTGACGAGTCGATGTTCCTGATTCGTGGCACAGCAGTACCTGCGACTGCGTGTGGATTACTATTGGCACCACCAGTACACACACTCACACGCACACGCACACACTACCCAGTAAGCTCCTACTTATTAAGCTATCTATATGGATACAAAATATATGGATTAGTTTCGGAGCGGCTCGCGTTTGATATTTTTCATGATAGGATTAATAATTTTATTGAATGTTATTTGTTATTCTGTTATTATGTATTGACTCACTACACGCTTTAGATTAACTGTAAGTGTAATCAGCAAATAATCTTAAAATAAATAAAAGTCTGAACAATAAACTTACCCGCGGTAAAGTGTCAGCTACTAGTGTCAAAAGACCAGGTAACATAATTGGTTTATCACTGTTGACCAGCTCCGAAAGAAGATCATTATTGAGTGGTTCATTGAGATTCAAGGCTTCACAGCACCAATTCAAGATTGAGACCTTTAGACTATTTGGAATATCGCTACAAATAAAAAACGCCGGTCAAAAAACTAGTAAATTACTTTTTAGATTCATCAAAATAATATAAATCCTATGGATATTTTTAATTTTTTCTTAAATTGTTTATTTACTACAATAACTCACCTATCAATCCACATTTCTTTACTGTTACTTTCAATACTGTTGTAAACATATTGTACACGGGTCCATTCCGTGCCATCATTAATGCTTAATGTTTCGTCCAATGTAGTGACACTGCTACGCCGTAGAGGGGAATCTCTCAAGCTCTCACCCAAAATGGCTGGATCAAACGAACTCGCATGTGATCCATCTTTTTGTACTCTGCTAAATAAGGTCTTATTTCATTAAATACAATTTAAGGTAAGCCCATCACTCTTTTTGGTTCAATATTATTTTGTATCAAAATATTGTTGATCTGGAACACCCTACAGTACAGAATCACTGATACTAAACCATAATCCAACAGACGGCGGTACCGCCCATTGTCATATTGGATTCAAATATACCCAGCGAAATGTAGGCATTTGACAAGCCTGTTGTGTTGGCCCACAAAAAAGGCCATATATGCCATAGGTATATGTATTCAATTTTATTACAAAAAATAATCATCATTAGAAATTATAATTTCTTACACACATCTGTTATTCAAAGGTGTATGTTAAGATTTTATAAATTACTTTGGTGAATATATAAATAAATTTAATAATTACTGTCATGTAACCTTTTTTAATATATTAATTAATACTTCAAGTATAAAATTCTTTAATAAAATATTGAACTTACACTACACTGTTTTTTTCACTATCAATCATCTCAAATTGCTCAGGTGTTGCACTATGAGTAGAATTACCACTTCCATAATGGTTCTCAGTGGCGGTACATGTCAAAGGGCGAGGTTCAGCTTGATTGACTATGTTCAATTGGACTGACAACATTTTATCGTCAGGTATATGGAGTTCCAGTGCTTTGCTATCTGCTGTTGGACTTGTAAGAGAATTCAAACTCACAATTGCTGCATCATATAGCTTTTGAAAATTTAACTTTTCTGTCTCCAATGCTATAACTTTCTGTTTTAGCAACTCTATTTCTTCCGCTTGGATTAAAAGCTGAAACAAAAATAGTTTCAAACATATAACATGAAAAAAACGAAAAATAACGAAGTGATAATATATGCAAAATTTCTATGAAGACTTCTTTAGTTATTTATTGATGACAAATAGATATGTATATATAATAATAACTAGGAATGACGAGGTATCACAAAAATTACCCTTTCAAACCGATTTATTGTATGTATTTTGAGCATATTTATATTGTAAAAATGTGTTAAGGCCATGTGGCCTATTTGTTTACATAAGAGAAAAATGTTTTTCTCTTATGTAAATAAATAATAAATACTGACCTCATGGTTCCATTCCGCATCATGATGTAATGAAGTATGACAACTAACACACATATTCCCTTCTTCTAAGTCGGTCTGACATCCATCATCAGTTTGATGCCACTCAACTTGTGTGGCAGCATCAATCTTGGGAATGTTTAATGATGATGAGTTTCCCCAAAATAAAGACTCTAATCCAGCTGGTCTCGGCATATTCAAGCCTACATCATCCCAATCTTCAAATTCCTAGAACAGTGATACTGTATATCAAACTTCTTTAAAATAATAATGTTACTAGAAAAATATATTTCTTCTGATATTAATTTGTTTGTAATTCAGTTAGTGATTGTTCTAATGGGTGATGATAATGATTTAGTAAGACTTTAGTAGATATTTGATATTAGGTCATACTTCAATATAATATATGAGTATATATATATATATATATATATATATATATATATATATATATATAGTACCTGATCAGGATTTTCATCTGAAAATGTAATAGAAGTGAGTTTATAATCTTGCAGCAAAAGGTACTCATTGACAAGAAAGTTGAGAGCTCTCTTCTCATGGGGCTTTAAAGGCCGCTTATTCAATGTATCTTTTGAAGAATTATCCAGAGCTGTGTCTCCATCTAGAATACATACAGCAAACACAAAAATTATCTTAATATTAAATAAAATAAAAATAGATATAAACTATAAATAAAATAATGCTCAAAAATCTACTACTATCTAATTTGTACAACCACAAAAGTAAAAATGGTATAAACATAATTTATTCTTTATAATGAATTGTATTCTTTATACAAAATTTAAGAATGAATATTTCACACATAACAAAGTGCAATGTTACCAAACATATTAATATAATTTTTAATTCTAATGCAAAAAACTAATGTGAATTGTTTTTTCTGATTTGAATAGATTCATTCTATTCAAATCAGAAAAAACAATTCACATTAGTTTTTTGCATTAGAATTAACAATACAAGACATATAGAATACATTAAGTTAATACTATACTATAGTATTATTATATCATTAATAATCAATGGTACAAGTATGGACTATCCACTAATAATTTATTAATTTATACAACATGTCAGATTGTGATTCATACAAAAATGTCATAGACAAAAAATAGACACACAAAATTCTATTCATATCAATATATTTTTTCTGAATTGAATAGAATTTAGTCTGTCTATTTTTTATATACATAACTAGTATATATAATGTAATATTCCAAATGTACACAGAGCAGTAGGTGCACTGTAGGTCACAACCAATCAGTGGCCTATGGGTTGTGAGTGAATATTAAGTATGCCCAGACCTGGCCCATCAATTTAAGACATTTCCACAGCACACATATCCTAGTTAATCTAGTAAGAAAAGCAAAAATTGTATTTTGTTTTAATTTGGCTATCTGCAATCAGCACCAATACTTTAAGCAGGTACGTTGTTGCAAATTATCTTCAGTATATTAATAAAAAAACATATTCAGTATATTATTTATACCTGCAAATTGAGTCAAATTGGCTCTAAGAGCATTGATAGTTTCTCGTGCTTTTCGAAGTTCAAACTCCAATACTGCTATGTCACCTCCACTTCCCAGACGATCTCCTCCACCATCTTCAGAATATCTTGCGGTATCCAAAGAATCTAAGGTAGCCTGACTTGGAGTCCGGTCTAAAATAAATTATAATTAAAAAAAAAACAAATTACTGAAAGCCTACAACAAATTCCAAATACTCTATGGTGGTTTAGTCACAGGTGTGATTGCTGCACAATACAAACCTTTGTTTTTATCTTTAGTTTTGTTTATATCCATAATATATAATAATTTTTGTGAAAAAAATATTTGAAACTAATTTATAAGATATTTTGTACTCATATTATAAACTATGTAACCAGATAGTGTTATGTGATATATTTAAAGTTATTTATGTACATAATTACTTTTTCAACTAACAGCAAATAGAATATAGTAGTCTTTTTAAGTCATCATCTTATCATAAAGTTGCATTGTATGTTTGACAATTATATTTTTACAGGACATATTTTAAAATTATTATTAGTACCAATTTATTAAACAATTAAATACACCACAGACTAAGTGTGATTATTTATTTTTGTCTATCTGTCCTATTTACAGACTTAATTAATTTAAGACAAGTCAGTCGCATTAATATAGTATTATATATAATATAGTATTCTTACTAGATACTTACGCATTGAACTAAAGTCGGACGCTCGTGACACATGTTGTTCGAAGTTTCCTGGGTTCGAAAAAAATTCTCTAAGCTGAGGCAATTCTTTGCCACTTTCGACCAGTTCTGTGTGTAATTCTAAAGCTGTCAGAAAGTAATGGTCTCTTAAAAGCTTAGTTGCTATATCTTCATACGATAAATGAGGTGGTGTGACGAATGAATTGTCCTCAACATCCTTATAAGGATTCATTTTATTTTACCACATTGCCACAATTAAAGCCACAAGAATATTATTTACTAAGTAGACTACCAAAACTAAGCTACTGTCACAACACTGTGAGTAGGCATCTATAATTTCTTAAAACATTCATCGAACTCTATTAATCTTATGTTCCAACAATTTGATTCCAGTGTTTTTATTATGTAAGTTTGTGTTTTTATTTTATTTTGAATTATTTTTAATGAATGAGACAGTAATGCTTTTTTTATTTTGTAGTCACAGATCACAAACCTCTCATGAGCTCACAGATTAATTAGTTCTAATTATCACCACAGATCAGACAAAGGTGGATTGATCCAAATAACTAGAAAAATACAAAGGCAAACTAAAAAGGCCCTTTTTTTAATTAAACATCAGCCATCGTTAAAGTATGCACTGGACTTAATTTATTGATACAGAATATAATTTTGTGTAGTTTTCTTTTTTTATTTCTTGATGTAGTCTTCATTCTTTGTGGTCTGTGGTAAATAGATATAGAGTTTTTGTATTTAAGCTCTGTGAGGCATATTAATCATTTAAATTTTGAAAACAAACTTACTGTAATACTAATTTTTAAATATAATGTATTATATTATATTACAGATAACGAATTAAAAGAGTAAAGGAAACAAATAACACACAAAAATGGGAGAAACATATTTCAACTTGAAACATAAACTAGAAGAATTAGGCTACAGTAACAGTTTACCCTTAGAGGCAGTTCCTTTAGTAGAATGTATTCTTGCTGATTTGTTGCAGACTACACGGAGTTTACAGCACTATATGGACCTGTCAAAAGAGGCACTGCAGCAACGCGACAGTTTAATCCTCGAAGCTGAACCATTTAAATCTGATAATGCAAAACTAATACAAGAAAACAATCAACTGCATAAAAATATTATGAAATTTAAGGAAGACACTCTTAAGATTTCAAAAGAAAATAAAAGAAGAATTAAATCTATGTCTGAAGAATTAATGAGAAAAGATGCGACTATCAGTAAGTTACAACACGACCTTAGAGATTTAAGTCTCAGAGGTCTATGTGCTGATACACAAAGTAGTAGAAATAAAAGCAGAAGAAAAGATGGTGGCGACGGCATGTTGCCAAAAGTGTGTATTTGTAACGAGAAAAATAATATCAGCACTCATAGAGATATTACAGAAGACTTATTAAAAAAAATCTGCTTACTAGAAGAGAAAAGTGAAGAGTACTGTGATGAAATATTACTTCTTAAAAATCAAGTCGAACACAGGGATAATGAAATTGTAAGGTTAAATATGCTATTAGAGGGTGGGCGACCAATTGCTGCAATTAATAAAGATTGCTGTAATGTAACTTCCGATAGTAGGCTACAGACTTTAATGAAACAATTATATGAACTGGAAGCAACAAATGACACTTTAAAGAAGGAAATTGATAAAGGACTAGAGAAACAACATGAAGCTATGCTCAGAGCCCTTAGCCTTGCTGATAAAAATAAAGCATTGCAGGAAGAATTGAAAAAAGTAGATACATTAGCTTTAAAGGTTGAAGAAGACTGTAACAAGAGATTGGCTGCCATGATGAACGAAATTAACTTTTTACAAACAAGAATAGAAGGTCTCACTATGAAAAATTTACAATTCGAACAAGAACTATCCCAACAACATTCTAAAGAAACCATACTTACTCCAGTAACTCAAAAAGATCAAAATGCCTTGAATGTTGCTTTGAAGGAGAGGGATATATTGCAAAAAGAAATAAAAGATTTGGTAGAACTCAACAAAAGTTTACAAGATAAAATACTGTCTTTATCTCAGTTGAACAAATTGAGTCATGGTCAGTTCAGTACTGATTGTGTGAACAAAGGTAATAAAAAATGCCCAACAAAAGATGAGTTGCAAACACTTCTTGAAGATGAAAGGAAATCTTATGAAAAGTACATGTCAGACATACAAGAAAAGGTAACAGAAGCTTTCAGTATATTTAATAACCATTTATTAAAATGTCAGGGTCATAATAATTCCAGTCATGAAGCTGTATTTTTGAAAGAACTGCATGCAAAATTGTGTGAAAAAGAGCAAAAGATACTCATGCTGCAGAAAGAAAATGAAGAGATTAAATCTAAAATATACCAGTATGATGAAGGTACTAAACAAAACTATAAAGGAATGATTAGTCAACTCAATGCAGAGAATACAGAATTATCTAAGGAGAATATTTCTTTAAGTCAACAGTTGAGTCATTACAGGAGTTTAAGTACTGCAAAATACAATAAGAATGAGTATTGTAGAAAAGACATACAAAAGTTAAGGGATAAAATAGATGAATTAACTCATGAAACACAATTATTAAATAAAGATAAAAATGAATATAATATGCGATATAAGGAAGCAATGGATTTAATAGATAAATTAAAAAGAGATTTGGCATTCAGGCAAAGAGAAATAGAGTCTTTGCAAGAAGAAAATTCATCTTATAAAATGACTCAAAGGACTGGAAAAGCTTCTACTGATCATCTAAAAGATGAGTGCACTTTTTTAAAAGAACAAATTAAAAGGATGCAGAGTGATGTCATTAAAGAAAAAACATTAGCTAGCCAGATAAAAAATATACAATTGGAAACTGAAAGAAGTAGTAATGAAATACAAAATGAACTATTATGTACACAAAAGAAACTTAGTTTGTCTAAAGACACAATTGATTCACTAGAAAAAAAGTGTAAGGAGCTACAGTCTGAAATTATGACTCTGAAAAATGATAAAACAAACTTAATCGACAATATAAAAAAAATAGATCAAGAACATGATAAATTGGTCATTGAATTGGATCATAAGACAGAAACTGTAAGTGTTTTAGAACAGAAAATAAAATCTCAATTGTACGATATCACTAAATTGCAGAATGAAATATCTGATTTAAAACGAAAGTTAAATGTTAATAAGATGTCAGAACATAAATTAGTAGATTATGAAACTCAAATAGCATTTTTAAATGGTGAAATTTTGAGATTAACCCAGCAAATTGACGCCGCTATTATAGAAAATAAGCATTTACAAAATAGCCTTGGAGATGCTAATGGAACATTAAAGTTAACTAAAATTGAATATGAAAAATCACGGAAAGAAGTTGATGGTTTAAAACAGCAGTTACAACATTATGTTGCAGAAATTAGAAGAATTGAAGAAATGTTGTCTCAGAAAGAAGCTGAAAGGTCTGATATGTTAGAACAATTTGCAAGTCTTTCTGTAGAAGCAAATATATTAGAAAACACTAATCATTCCTTAGAAAGTGAGTCTGCTTCTAAATCAATGCAATTGCAAACCTATACTAGCAGGATTCAAAATTTAGAAGCAAAACTTTTAGACAAAGAAAATATAATTGATTCTCAGTCTGCACATCTTGCATCAATGACTTGTAAGATAAGTGCTCTAGAAAATGAAGTTAAACTAGTAAATGAAGAAAAATTGATTCTTGAACAGAATATTTCATATTTGAAACAAAAGTGTAACAATATGGAAATTGAAAATTCAAATGCAACAAGGACTATAGGTGATACAGACTCAGAATTAAAATTATATGAAAATAGAATTAAATCCTTGACAACTTGTAAAGGTAAACTAGAAGTAGAAAGGGATGATTTGAAGGACAGTTTAAGGAGTACAGAGAAACTGTTATCCAATGCTAGAAAGGAAGTAGTAGAACTAAAATTAGCATTGCAAGATGCTACTTCTGAAACAAAGTCTTTACAAGAACGTGTATCCAGGCTTAGTCGCAGAGACATCAATGAGGTAGTTATCAATTTCTGAACTGAAATAATGAACTTTAGAACAAGTTAAATATGCATATCTACTATTAGTATTTCTGTTTGCATCTAAAATTATAATATAGGTAATTTATTGAAATGTATATATTTTTCTATTTCGCAGGCTACATTAACTACAGAACTTGACTTACCTCTGATGTTGGAAGAAACTATACATGAAGTTAGTCATGAGGATGACGAAGACAGCACACGATATACAAAACTGCATAAGAAATTCTCAAAGTATACACATAGTGGTACATTATAATTGATCTTTCCTGTTAGAAATTCAATTACAATAAATGAGAATATTTTGCACAACTCTTATTGGAAATGTAAAATGGACATATAGTAATTAAATTGTAGTTCATTATGGATATAAAACTGTTGTCTGCCTTACATGATGGTTGCAGGTTCGATTTAACTTTAAATATACTGGTGCCTAAGATGGAATACAAGTGATTAAAAGATGTATTTTAGTAAATAAATAAGTTTAGAATTTATACATGTAACATGAAATTAAGTTTTTAATAATTAATTTTATTTTAATAATGAAAACTATTTTTAGTAACAGCAAAATATTTTTTTGCTACTCTGAATACACCACTCTTTATGAGTGTTAGGTCATATAATTACACATTACAAGAAATCCTGAATTTAAATCAGGCTGATACAAATAAAAAGCTAACAAGGTAGGCTTGACCCCTGCCATATTTGATTCAAAATATACCTGGCGGAATGTGAGCATGTCAACATCACTTGTCACATCGAAATTGGATATGACCACTGTATATCAGTGTCAGTCATATCAGTGTTATTGTTGTTTTAAGCATTATACATAGCCTTGATTTACGGATGTAGTAACTTGACATGGTATATATATATATATATTGGCAATGAGCCACTGGTCCAGTCAATAACTAATAACATTTTCCCTCCCAATACACACTAGTTAGCAAGAATTATAAATAATACTTATATTTTTTTTGTGCTACTCGCTTTTTAAGTTGTGGGTATAGTTTGGTTCCTAATGAGTAAGTCACAATACTGGCAAGTAAGCTAAACAATATTTAAGACTACACTACAATTTACATTAGCATAAAAACAAAACAAAGCATACAAAATGCATTTATTATTTTTGGATAAATATGATAATGCCACCTCCTTTACAAAGTTTGTATTAAATTACATTGTATTTTACAACAAAATCATACTAGTGTTGTTTAATATTTGAGTGGTGTTTCAACCACATTACGCTCTGTTGAATAAAGGTTGTACATAATTATAGACTTAAATTTATAAGCAAAAATTATAAATATATTGACATATTTGTAAAAAAACCTTTAAAAGTAAAGTCTATTTAAATCTATACTTGCTAAACTGATATGTAATGTTAATTGTTATTACAATAAATTATGAACATACAGATAGATAAGTACAAATTGAGTTAAGTAGATGTTTGTGCTGTGTATGTCTTAACAAAATACTTTCTTCAAAGATAAAGCTAATATTATATTAGTTTACATTTATATGAGATTTTAAATATGATAAACCAGTGAGCAAATTCGGTGGGGATAATTTTATTTTACTTTGAATACACAATTTCACTGCTCAACTACAAATGGGAAGTTGATTTTAAAATATAAGAGACAGTCTTTACATTAAATATCAATGAAAACAAAAATAGCATGCTTCAAAGAGTTGAAGATATTGCTTAAAAACACAGAAAAAAATTGTGAAATATAGAACCTACTTTTTAGAACTTGCTTGTTGAAACTATATACAATTAGCTTGATAATCTTAAATTTAAAAATAAAAATGTATTGTCAGGTCAACTGTATCACAACAATGATCTTGTTCCATATAGACAATACATATACATTTTAATACATCAGTATTGTTATACTGAAATAAAAAAACTATCGCCCAGTCCCTTAGTAGACAAGGAGAAAGAAATTTGTATTATTTATTATCATAAAACAGTTATACAGTGTATTTATATGGAATGCATTTAAAGTATTGATTGTTACATATCAGTCATTTAATTATATATTATATGTTATAGTTATCTATAATACACATATTTACATATTTCCGGACTGTTTTCTTTAGATACTTTGCTCCTATATAGCTAGGCCACAGTTACACTAACTTATTGAACTATGCCATGTTGTATCTCACAGCATAATGATAACTAGAAGGAAATTCTCCTATAGGAATAATATTTGGGAATGGATTTATCAAGGCTTTTATTGTGATGTGGTTATTCACATATCTGAATTCTCTTTACCTATCACATAGTGCCGAGAAAATTAAGATAACTGAATAAATTATGAAATGATGTGAAATGAAGTGTGAAAGTATTTACAAAATGTATCAAAGTTTACATTCCATATTAACTATAACAAATAGAATATAGCATATACAAGATTACACAATTACATATTTTACAATATTAAAGAGGAAATTATACATCAATTTTCAGCACCTTCCTGTAAAATTTCCATAACCATAATTCTATGATAATTGACCTTCAATTCATTTAAACTACAATTACACTAGTATGGTAATAAATATTGCAACATAATTAACTACATACAGAGTAAACAGGAGTTATATTTGTTAATATTACAGAGTAGCTAAAATTCTTGTGAATCCTATACCAGCTCCTAAAACAGTCTGTCCAATACCCCATATCATTGCATGTATTGGGGGCATAGTTAAGTCGGCAGCTCGATATATAAATGCGATGGCAGCACTACTAACCACGCCTGCAGTCACTGGATTCACCACACCCATCACAATTAAAAGAACAGGAAAGAATTTACCATATTTATGTTTTCTTAGAGTCCCGAAAGAGACGAGGGCAGCACAAGTATGTACAAACACTGAAGAGCACAAAGACCACAGAAACACTGGATACCACATTTCACCAAATCTGTTTAATGGGTCCCCAGGAGTCAACCTTAATATATCCACGAAAGAATCGAATTCAGAGACGCGGAACTCTGACAACATGTCATACATGTTGTCCTACGTGTTCGAAAGCTCAAAGGCATCGGGACAGCTTTGTTATTCATTAAATTTCTAGAAATAGTCTTAACCATCAAAAAGACAGTGCGTGTAATTATGGCATAATTTGATAAAACCTTGGTTCTTGATTACCAATTATTAAAAAAATTATGCATCAGTAACAAACAGTATCTTTCCAGAATTGAATGCATTACAATTCTAGTAATATTAGAAAATAATTAGTAGTAATAAATATGATTATAACACATAATTATGATAATGTTTACAGAACTTTAACGAAATATAATGTAATAATTAATATCTGAAAATTCTGAAACAGTGTTGATAGAAGTGACAATTCTCAGCACAGATTAGACAGTCGATTGAAGACTTGTCTTTAGTCTGTTTTCTGTGAACTTGACAGCTTATTATTGCTTACTGCAATGACGTTAATATAATATGAAAATTTTGCTTTTTTAAAAATCAGAAAAAGTTGCTTCTTATATTACCAAGTAGTTAATACTATTTTACAACAATATACTTAAAAAACTCGCTATAGAGATTTTATATATGCTGCATTAGTATTTTTTTATTTTGTTTAAGTACCTTTAAGTACTTACATTTTAGGTTTTGCAATTGAACACATTTTTTACTCATTAAAATATGTAAGTACTTACCTACATGTTATAAATGTCATTGAAATCTACGTAATTCCTCAGATAGAAATAGACGCATGAATTAATTACACTTTTTAAAGCGAAATAAAAAATGGGTATTGTCCATTCGAATTAACTATAACATATATATATTATAAGTTTACGATATTTTATATATCGTATCGTAAACGATATATATAATTTTACAATAATTATTTAAGCTGCCATGACACTAAGAGTATAAATCTTATGTATACTGAAACTAAATGTAAAATTACTATTTATGTGAATAATATATATTTTTTATTGTAACATTTAATATTATTAATGACAATTTAATTCATATTTGTTTTAAATAAACGGAAACATGCTTAATTAAAAAAACATGTCTTACTGTATATTCTAGCGTTTTTTATTAAACTACGTTTCATTTGGAATCGTACCTTGTTAATTTTTGTCTATATGACCCAATATGACCAAAGTAATGGTTTATCAGCATGCATTGAATACTTACTCTATATATGGCAATACTCGGGTGCTCATTCATGTTTCATTTCTGGCAACACCTTTGGTGCCGAATGTCGATGTTGTTCTTCGTATTTTAACTATTATAATTGTATTTGAAAGATTTGAAATGTTTGTCAAATGAAAGTTTTTGAACAAATAATTTATAAGTTCAAGCTGTTACTCGTGCTAATTTGATACCATAAGGTTTGTAACAAAATTTTATATTTTTACTATTCGCATAGTTAGTGATGTGAAGTTCGTACAATCGCGCACTCCCAGACTTGGGTTTGGCCCCTAATCTAGTGAATTGTGTTAACCTCAAAATTGTAATCCGCGTGATCTTGCATTATATTTAATAAAATATTATTTCAGTTAAGTTTATATTCTAAAACAATGGGAAAGGTCAGGTCAGCTCCTGGTGCCCCGCGGAAGCAGGGGTTCAATAAATCGGCCCATTCTATGAATCCTGATCGGCCCACTGAAGGGCTCAAAGGTGTTGGGAATGCCAGGACAAAAGGAACTATCAAAAGGCTGCAGATGTATCGCAATTTCAAAGCTAAAAGAGATAAGACTGGAAAAATTTTAACACCCGCACCATTTCAAGGTTGGTTGCCTTCAGGTACAAGAGCACGCATTGAACCTAATCAAAAATGGTTTGGAAACTCTAGAGTTATTTCGCAAAATGCTCTACAAAAGTTTCAAGAAGAATTTGGAGCTGCTATTAAAAATCCATATCAAGTGGTTATGAAACCAACCAATTTGCCCATTACATTACTAAATGAGAAAGCTAAGAATGCTAGAGTACATTTATTGGATACTGAAGGATTTGACAAAACATTCGGGCCTAAAAAACAAAGAAAAAGGGTGAACTTAAAGTTCAGTGACATAGGAGCATTATCAAAAGCTGTGGAAGAGAGTTCTAACAAGTATGATGAATCTAAAGATGTGGATAGAGTCCGTGAAGATTCAGGTGTAAAAGAAGGTCAACGAGACTGGGTATTTGGTGCTGGAATGAGTAAAAGGATTTGGAATGAGTTGTACAAAGTTATTGATTCATCTGATGTACTGCTACAAGTTCTTGATGCACGAGATCCAATGGGTACAAGAAGTCCATATGTTGAAAAATTTCTCAGGGAAGAGAAACCACATAAGCATTTGATTTTTATTTTAAATAAAGTTGATTTAGTTCCTAATTGGGTAACACAGAGATGGGTAGCTATACTTAGCTCTGAATATCCTACAGTTGCCTTCCATGCTTCTATGACACATCCATTTGGAAAAGGTTCTCTTATTAATCTTCTACGCCAGTTTGCTAAGCTACATATTGATAAGAAACAAATTAGTGTAGGATTAATTGGTTATCCAAATGTAGGAAAATCATCAGTTATTAATACACTTAGATCAAAGAAGGTATGTAAAGTTGCACCAATTGCTGGTGAAACTAAAGTATGGCAGTATATTACTTTAATGAAAAGAATATTTTTAATAGATTGTCCTGGTATTGTTTACCCATCAGCTGAAACAGACACAGAAAAAGTACTGAAAGGAGTTGTAAGAGTAGAATTAGTACAAAATCCCGATGATTATATAGAGGAAGTCATTAAAAGAGTGAGGAAAGAGTATTTAATTAAAACATATAAAGTAGATGGATGGGAAACAGCTACAGAATTTCTAGAAAAATATGCAGCCCGTACAGGTAAATTATTAAAAAAAGGAGAACCTGATGTCAATCAAGTGGCAAGGATGGTACTTAATGATTGGCAAAGAGGTAAACTTCCGTTTTATGTAGCTCCAGAAGGGTTTGAGATTCCTTTAAGTAAACAGCAAAAAGAAACAGAATCTAAAGAAACTGATGCTAGAGCTGAGGATGTAAATAAAGAGGAGTCCCAGGAGGGTACAATTATAGAAAAAGAGAACAATGTGACAGAAAAGCCAACTTTTACTATAAACAATGTTGTTATCGCTCAAGACTTTGCTAAAATTAGAGTGGGATTACAGTTTGACAATGATGATGATGTTAAACCTCTTGATAAAATGAATATACCTGATGAACTAAAAGGAATAGATGATGTTGAAGGTGATGAAACTAAAAGTGAAGAAATAGAAGATGATAATAAGAATATTGATAGTGATGACAACTCTTCAGTTATAAGTGATTTTTATAGTAATGATGAACTTGTTTGTAGTGACGTTGAAGATTATTTGACAAATGATCCAGATACAGTAAAGGAAATTAAAAGACAAAAACTAAAATCAGCGAGTGGAGCTTTTATAGTAGATGACATTCCTCAAAATAAAAAGTTCAAGGGTAACAATGACAATAAGGCGATTGATTCCAAAAAACTAACAGCAAAGCAAAAAAGAGCAATAGATAGAGCTCAACGTCGTACTAAAACTGGAAGTAACTTTTATGAAGTGTCTAATGTAAAAAACCGCAATAGAAATAAAAAAAAAGTGGTGTAAATTATGTTTAAAAATAAATTACTTTAAAACTATTTCTTTAATGTTTAAATTGTGTTATATTTACCCAATTAAAATTAAGAAATAATAATTTAGACAGGTAACTTTATTTGTAAAAAAATATTGTAATTTTAATTATTAACTTTTAATAAAGGTACCAATCATTTATTATTTCAGATGTCATCAGGTAGTGAAAGTGATGAGGATTATATACCTGGAGAAGTAGAACAGGTGTCAGAGGAAGGATCAGCAGATGAGGAAACAGACTTACAGTATGAACAAGAATTAGAATACAAAACAAAAAAGCGAAAAGCAAGTAAACAATGTAATGAAATCAAGAAGAAGAAAATAAAATCCAGGAATGACATTAAAAAGCTGGAGGCAGTAACAGAAGTAAATGTTGAAGTAACTGAAGAAGCTGTAGATCCAGAAGAACAAAAGAAACATGAGGATGATTTATGGGCAAAATTTTTAGATGGAACTGATACTAAACCTAAACCAACATGTCAACCTACAAAAACGAATGCCAATAGTATAGTTGATAATGCAGTAAAACAGCCATCTGGCAGTTTTAAAGGAAGTAATGATGATGAGAAGGCTAGAGAAAGACGTATTTTTGAATTTGCTGGTGAAACCATTGTTGTGGAAAATAATGTCATAAAAGAAAAAATTAACAGTGCTGAAAGCCCTGCAGCAGGTGATTTTTTTTGCATTTCTTAAATATTAACTGTCTGCTTATTCAATGGGACAAGAATATAGAACCCATTCAGTAGTTTTGTGTGAAAGGGTAACAAACATCCACAATTTTCATCTTTACAATATTAGTAAGATGACAACATTGTGCATGTTCAATGTGTTTCTCGCTATGTAGGCCCTTACTGATTTATACACATAGTATGAAGAATTTAATATAATAAAATCAGTAGTCACATAACAATATAGAATTGCAAAGAAAGAATTGTCATAACAAGTAACTAACTGTACTAGGGTTGACAAATATATTTTCAAATTAAAATTTCAATTTAAGTTCTTATATTTACAGCTAGTAAATTAGATGGTCCATCATCACGCGGCCGACCATCAGGTGGCTTGTCCGGTTTATTGAATAATTTAAACAAAACTGCTAAACTATCTACTTTGGAGAAGTCCAAACTTGATTGGCTAACATATAAGAAAGAGGAAGGCATAGAAGAAGAAATTGAAAGTCACAATAAAGGCAAGGCTGGGTGAGTGTACTAAGTAATGTTTTTCGTTGATATTGGATGGCAGGTGCAATAATTATTTATTAACACACATAATTACTCCATACAATAATGATTATTCAACTATCTTTTTACTGAGAAGGCATAATGATTTGTATTTAACTGTCATAATTATCCACGGTTAGCTTGTTAGTATTTAAAAGAGTGAAAAATATTGTTCCTTCTGTTGCATATTGATGTTGAAATAACATATTTCTTTCAGCTACTTGGATCGACAAGATTTTTTGGAACGAGCTGATCTACGCCAGTATGAAATAGAACGAGATCTGAGAATGAGCCGGCGCAGTAAACGATAAAAAGACTTACTTATATGCCATACAAAAGGTTGTACTTGACTGGATAAATAGCATACTATAGATGATTGATTAATCATCAATAAATCATCCTTCGATGCTTTATCAAAGTTGCACAGAGGATTTTCCGTGGATGTGGAAATCACCCATTGTGTATTTCGCGATTTATGTATTTTAAAAAGGCCATAATTGTTCCTGAATACTGTAAATCACAGCATACACTTTTAACACTTGTGAGCAAAAAACGAGGTTTTAAGTACTTAGTCTAATTGTAACTTTATTGATTAAATTGTATGGGTTTTGGTGGGTGTAAAAAAGTGCTGAGAGTGGTCCTTTGTCTGCGCTAACTTTAATCCACATTTTTTGATCGTCGCATTTGTCTACGCAAATGTCAACAATTTTCATTGTGGTTATACCACCGCTGTGATGTGGGATGATGTTATGTGCTTAATTAAAAGCATGGGATTCAACCTTACCTTATTGCACTATTTAATAAATGTTCTCATAGGAATACTAAATATTTTTTGTTTTATTGTATATTAGAGTGCTTAAATCATTCCAATCTGAATCAATTCAGTCTAAAAATAACTAAGTAATTTTACACAGAAATCTACCCAAAGATTAAAATCGTAAAGCATTAATTATTATAAATAATTATATTTATCTATTCCTCCGTTTCACGTAATGGAGTTTACCTACCTTCCTGATCATTTTTGCAGGCTATTTGAAAGGGCATGTTCCGTAACAAAACAGTGATTATTTAATTTCAATTGGTTCAAACAAAAGTTATACCTTATCAATTGCCCGAAATACCACGCGTTCAATCTGGCAGTATTTTGCTCGAGCCCTTCCACTATCTGCCAGATACGAGAACTCATACAATTTATTCATGTTTCTCATCATCATTTTATCTTTTCACTGTAAACGATTTTAATTTTTTTTAATAATTGTATTCACGGTTAGGTTATGTAGTGATTCTTTTCACATTACGAGTTTTACATACGAATGGCTTTATATTCAATTTTTTTTATAAGTACTTCATATAGTAAGTGTCACCCGAATTAATGTGTAAGTAAGTAATAATAAATTAATAACAATACTCCTACTTGACTATTTTTTAATGTCCTATTAAGGAATTCTGTACACCCGCCTGAACTAATGGTATATGCTGATGGGGTAATGATGTCCAGCGCAGACCGAACCAGGAGAATATAGCAAAAGTGGTGTGTCCTGGTGAGTTAATGTAGATAATATTGCAACGGGGCCAGTAGTATCCATTACTAACAATCCCATACTTCTCCAACACTCACAACTTATCCCTATTGAGGTAGTCGCTAACCTGGATCAGCGACGTGGTGGGTCAGTCGTATAGGGAATATATCCCTATAATATTATTCGACGACCTCGGTGGTCTAACGGTCTAGCACACCGCTTTACTACCGATGGTCGCGGGTTCGATTCCTCGCACACAAACATTTGTAGTCATGAGTATGATTGTTTGTATCGGTCTGGGTGTTTTCTATGTATAATATGTATGTATTTACAAAAAAAATATCTGTGTATTTGTATCAATTATCTAGTACCCATAACACAAGCTTTAGCTAGCTTAACTTGGGCCTAGATGGCTCTGTGAGAATTATCCCGAGATTATTATTATATTATTATTATTAAGTACATCGTGAAAGTACTGATGTGAGAATTGTCTGAAGTTATGTCTGCTGATTCAGTTATCTAATGTATAAAATTAATGCAAGTATGTAGCCTAGTGCGGCCTCAGAGGAGCTTCCTTCCGCGTACACTTGGTGGAATGAACCACCTGCCGAGGTTTTCTCTAGAGATTTTTGTACAGGATGGGGTTTTTCTTGAAGGGTTAATGAGGTTTCTTAAAAGTCGACTACACTCGAGTGACACCCCTGGTGTTTCAGACGTCTAAAGGCTAGCAATAGCACTTATCGCTGCAGTCTTCCCCCGCAGTGCACCGTCGGCCCACGTGACCCGTGAGCAAACATCGGTAGCACCGCATGGGTCTCGGGTCGAGTGATTGCACCCGAGCCATCGTCCACCCCACCTTCACCCGACCTGCCTCGGTCAGGGCTTTGGCTGCTGCCACTGGGCATCGCACCCAGATCGAGCCAACACCAGAGGGAGTGCGCCGGACTTCGCGTGTCTTCACGCTCAACTCGGCGCACCCCCCTGCCGCACTACTGCGGCGACGACATCATCGGCGGTTGCTGAATCGTCCAGGTCACTGTTCCTGATTTCGGCCGATTTCTCTGGCCTAGTGACCCGGATGCTTCCCTCCGGGACGATCTCCGCCAGCCTCGCGGCCAGCGAATTCGCCTTGTCGCCGGTGTCGGCGCCTGGCACTTCTAGGATGCGATACCCAGTCACACCCAGACGGAACCTAAGGTCGGTAATGCCGAGGTCGGCTATGGAGATCTTCTCCTTCGCCTCTCGGAGCAGCGACTCATAGGTCAGCCCTCCTTAGACGTCCAAAGCCTACGGTAAGCGTTTGTATCAGACGGGCCGTATACTTGTTTACCACCATTGTAGTATAAATAAAAATATTCTGTGTGACCTCACACTGTATTCATTCTAAATCTAACCTTTGATAATTTCTATATTTAGTGAATAAAGATATTTTAATTCGATTTGTTAGTATCGACATCATGGTGAGATATTTATAGATTAGTTTATTCGAAATTACCCAACGAAACGCATATCAAGTGATCTCCTGTTGTGAAATGTTTTCCAAGATAACATATGTAGTCATATATCTACATATTTTATGTCCTAGTAATTTAAAGTTGGAATACAAAATACGAAAGTGAAATTATATTAGTAACATTTAGCTTGGTATTCACATAGTTACGACGTCGTACAAGCCAGAGTAAACGATATCATAGGTATATTTAAAGATATGAAGAATTATATGTTTACATGTATCAATTTACTATAAAAATATGTATTAGGTATAATGTGCACTATGTAGTATGGTACACTGCTGTTGTTTTTACTGTCGGATCCAAAGGTTGTATAATTTTATCATTGGTACTATTGAGTTTGCTAAAGTTTGGACTGAAGTCGGAAAGAGTGCGAGAGAGTGAGAGAAAAAAAACTAATTACTTAAATTCGGTGATTAAATATGCAAACTGATGAAAATAGATTTAAAAAGTAATTACTTTTTGTAAATAGCGGTGTTTACGTAAAATTCAGGCTGTTGAACTCGCCGATATCGTAGTTATCTATATATCTATAAAGTATTATCTAGGTATATGAGACAATTTTAAAAATCGGTCAACGATTTATTGTATTTTTCAATTACATGTAAGTAAATAAACATGCAATGAATTCTTTATTTGTCTTTATATCTAATATTTAACTATTTCAGTAGCATTACATATGTATTGTTTATATTAAAAAAAACCAACAAGATTTAAGTAAACTTACCACAATATATAAGTTAAAACCGTTTCAGAAATGGCTTAATCGATTTCGGTGCGGTTTTAACTTATATATTGTGGTAAGTTTACTTAAATATTGTTGGTTTTTTTTTTCTCAGATAAAACAGTAAATAATGATGCTTTTTCATGTACCTATCCATATTTGTATTTTATTTCTTAAAACAATGATCTCTCATTCTTTGTTTTCTTTTATTTTAACATGTAATAGTTCCTGAAATGACTATTGCCGTTTCGCTGTAACAAAAAACAGCTAGAACACACAATAGCTTCCACATTCAGTGAAAAACTATTACTCAGTTGGTCTAATACAATTCTCACAATTCATAATACATTGGTCCTAAACATCACATATTGATGTGCATCACAATGGGTTAATAGTAGTAAACGAGCTTACAAGGTTCATTCCATCCATTCTCCTCAATCACGTCAATGAATTTGACTTGCGGTGATAGCAATCAATTTCAATCTGAGTAGGTATATGAACGAGCGGCCAGTGGCTACTGTGAAGTACTGTGTCGACTGATTTGCACACGTTGTGCTAATCAAGCTAAACAGTTTATTTGTCGAGGCCGTGTCGCATAGCCATAGCAGTGCTGAATTTGCTCCTGAGGAGGCAAGTGCTCCGTTACTGTACAAATAGTCTACGCATACGTATGCGACTGGATGTGATATAATTTTGTTTGTGAAGTGCAATTATGACAGCTTATGGGAGATGGACAATGTACGATGGTTCGATGGAGGGGGTTCAGGTCAGTGTATTAAAGCTTATTTGTTATACTACATACTATTTTATTACTTAATAGTATACTATTAGGTAAGTATGTATAAAATAATTCTATTTAAATTTGATAATTTTATTACACCAGATTCTAAATTACATTAGATTCTATTTATTTTAGTGCCTATTCGTTCATTGTAAGTATCGTGTTCGTAATATTACGTTTGCATCTTGACAAATGATTTTTATTATAATGCTTATTGTTTATGGCAGACTAATTGATACCAGTGATTTCATTTGCACAGACGACAGATAAGATAGGTCTGTACCAACTTTCGTCCCTAATTTTATACCCTTGCAAAATGTTTTTGACACAAAGGATAGCCTAATGTTACAATGTTTTTTATATCAAATTTCATTAGGTCTCCATTTTCAATCGTTTAGTTTTTGAAAATAACAAATGGAGACACTTTGTATATCTACTATTAAAAATAATCAAACATAACTTCCTTAGTACCTATACTGTAGGCAGCATTGTTCTGATTCCTCACTCATACAACAAAACAAAATATTCAGATATTTATCTTATATATAAAATTCGTGCTAGTTACCATACTCCTCTGAAATGCCTAGACCGATTTTTATAAAATTTAAAATGCATATTCAGTAGGTCTGAGAACCGGCTACTATCTAATTTTCATACCCTATGTTTTAATAGCGATTTTAATTTATAATGCAAAACAACGTGTGCTGGGGCAGCTGGTATTAAATAAAAATTTAAGTAATAGTTTGTCATTCTACAAACATTCTTTACAGTATATACATGAACACCGCCACGGACGTCAAGTCATCATGTAAAGCTCGTGATACTCTTCAATGGTTATCATTCCGGAGAACTAAAATGTCATGCCTCCGTACCCTACAATTTCTGAATTAGCGGAAATGGAATCACAAATTGTTAAAAGAATTAAAATTGTTTTTACTTGATGACATCTATTTGTTATCCTTTGAAACGCCCACCGTTGTAGGTCTAGGTAACACAATCCGAACCACATGTTCGTTTATTACTAATTAAGTACGTATGATGTCGACTCGGGAATAATTCACAAGTATTAATATTCATCAATTACTTAGGTATGCATACAATTGAAATATTGAAGTAATTATTTCTAATGATAAATATATAGTATGTAGATGAGCAACAAGTAGCTATATAAAAACTGCACAACATGCATTCCTTTACGTTTTTGTAATAAGAGTTTATAATTACGTGTAAAGTGATACTTGGTAGGTAGAATACGATTAGTTAGATTAATTGTTTTTCTTGATGGACATATTCATCGTCCAACGCTAAAACTAAAATATACAACTAGAATTGCATTTTCTCCCAGTCAATCGCATAGCTTGTTGTTTTACGGGGTGCTAGGCAAATTGGCATGTGTAATTTCGGGCCCCGTTCTCAAAAAGGCGGGACAATATGACTAGGTACAGCAATAATCTTATTCCCTATGACACCGTTCAAGTATCGTTGTACATATCATTGACATACCTGGTGTTAATGTGCTAAGCTCTTTACATCCTCTTTTCTTATGAGAACTGCGTAAAAGAGTGAAATGTTCTTTCAGCTTCAGTGTTTCTCGCCTTGAAATGACGTGAGGTCTTTAAAGAGAAAAACCTAAAAACCATTTAGTCGAATGAGATTGCAGTTAATCGAAAATGGGACAAACATGAAGTAAACTGTTTTTATTTAAAATACAAATATCGCGAAGAAATTACGAATACTATTGAGTAAATGATAATATCTTTTATTTAAACTCTCTTATAAGTCTAGGTATTATTAGTCTTATTTCGAGAAAACTCCTTCTGATCGGATCCTGAAAACTGAAACTACTGTTTACTTGCAGACCTATTCGTAGTCGATATGCGCATTTCTACAGGATCTGCGTCCACAAATCAATGTAACTTACGCTTAATTAAAGTAAATATGCCGTTAGCTAACTTGCATTCAATTTATATCCAGAACATGAACGGTGAAGGCGCGTATCTTAATGAATGAGGGGTCAAACACCAGTATCTTGTTCAATGACGTAATTCGGGACAGTGAACGTGGTAGAAAGGAAAAGTGGGCGAACAACCGAGTACAGCCTCGACGCCCACACTAGCACTCCTGCGTTCTCCTGACTATAATTCGACATCTTTATAAAGAGCAGAAAATTGTGATATTAATACAAGTATAGTTGTTGGTCTGTCTCATATTCCGACATTCAGACTTTTATCCTAAACCTAATTTATTTTGTAAGTAATGTTATACAATATCCTACCACAAACAAAACTGAATGGGTACATAACTTAGATTTTTATTAGATGATGATGGAATTGTTGTCTTGCCTGCATTACATGTTGGTGGGGCACTAGCCTTCAGCTTTCGGACACACAAATGTATTCGACAAAAAAATCCAGAGTTTGCTTCTACTTCTATTCGTACCGAGGGAGACTATACAAACTCGTCTGCCTTGGTACTTCTATTTCTCCTATTTCTGCCTCTTGGCTGCGTAAGTATTCCAGTTTAAAGTTATTAAATTGAGGATTCGCAGAGGGTTGACAGGGCGGTTATAAATTTATTTTGTGATGTTTGTGGCGCTGTGAATGTACCTACATATATAGGAGATAGTTTCCATTATTCATCAGATGGGCAGAAACTACTTTACACAATGATAAGCAAAGAGCGGAGAGAATAGAAATACAATCCAATTCACAGTTTTTTATGCATATCCTGTGTTGCATTTGTTGGTATATGTAAGTATGGTGTGGATTCTTACGGAGTGTAGTCGTGCTAATGTGAACTACTGTTTTTAAAATAATAATAATAACCCTATACAATTCACACAGCGCTTAATAGAAATATATCTACTGTGTGTGGAATCGAATCCACAAGCATCGCAAGTAAGGCTATCATAGGTCATATGATAAATCATTAGACCACCGAGGCCATTAAAATAAAACTGAAGGCCGTGCATAATTACAGGAACTTCAAAGTTTAATTTTGGGATTATAAATTCTGAATACTTCTGACCCTTCATTGAGTTAGCAAAAATATACCTATTAGATAAGTATACCTAATTGTTAATTTCTTCAAGAAACTTATTTTACAGGAATGTAGAGCTTTCTGTTATTCTTTTTAACTTTTCCATGACCGCCTGGCGGATACCATGACACGGCTAGTAATCTGGCAATTAATTTTAATTTTCGATCTTCCTCCCAACATAGTTAATTACAGTAAACAGACATGTATTGTTTTATGGAATGTACCTATGTCTGGTTGAAGATTTTGGGGTATTACAACAATTGGAGCAGAAAACTGTTACGTCTTCGAAGCTCGGTAATTGTTGAGTTGCAATACAACGCACCTATTGTCGAATGCGATAATATTTGCTCAGGTGTGCGTTTAGTTATACTAGCGGAGCCTGGCACAGGTGAATGAGTTACGGTGACGGCGGTAGTGTAGCATATTGCGCATGTGTACGCGCGTTCGATAACCGCACTACGGCCGTGCTCGCGGCACGTGTCCATGTGGTCGGCATTAGGGGTTCGAGTGCTTTTCGAGATGAAGGAGACTGTTCAGTGTTGTGCGACCCCGAGCGGCGCACGAGGGCCACGATACGAAGGCGCGGGGTGAGTGATGCGCGCAGCGGCTCTCGGTGGCGGCGCGGCGCGCCAGTCGTATACTCGCGCTTATCGGGTCGGTTGCTAGTCCGGTCTCTCATTCCAGCGTCTCTCTACACGCACTCGTATTCTGATTTATTGGATTTATATTTTTTGACAGTGCAAGAATTTTATTTGTCGTATCATAATAACGACGTGATGTGTGAATTCGAGCTGTGCTTGTACTGTGGTGATATTGAGTGAACTTGCGAAAATTTGCTTTTCGGGGAAAGTGTTTTTCTTGTGTGAGGCGCCGGTGGGACCGGCATCGGGCGGGCGCGGGCACGTAGTGGCGGGTTTGTTGGATGGTGCGGCGCGGGCGGGCGCCGGGGCGCGGCCGGCGGCGCCGCTAGCAAAATGTCGATACCCCTAGGCCGGGAGACTGTGCTCTCTACACAGGTGAGTCTTGGTTGTTCTCGCTTTTCCGACTGAGTTGATGTGCGTGTGGCGACCGCGTGCCGTGTTGCGTATGAACCTAATGGAATAAGTGGCTGAGGGTCTAGTTAGAGGCCTGCGCACCCAGTACTTTAGTACTAGGGGTTGGGTGATGTGACGTACATTCATTAAAATGAAACGCAAAGCAGTTTAGCGTCAGTTATTAACATATGGCATGGTGTGGTCTCTATACCTAGAGACGATGATGTTGGCGCGGTGATGTTTTAAATTTTTCTGTAGATAGAGACTTTGGGATAAAAATATTAAATAAAACTCTGAAATAGTTTTAAATTTACATTAAATCTGTGGGATTATACATATTCTTTTGTATTACGAAACTTAGTACTTCAATGGTCATAATTTTCATCCATGTAACAAATCTAATTGTTTAATATAATTCTTGACACAATGATAATTTTCTTTTGAGATAAAATGTTTACATTTTTGTCTGCTTACGGAAATGGGCAAATGCCGAAACGTAATACAGTTAACGGTACCTACTTATATTCTTCTAAAATAAACAAACAAACATAAATAAACAAATGAAGGCATGTCAAACGTATCATGTAGTCACAAACTATAATAGAACTTATTTCTATTTAGTTTATATAGGTATGACTTTTATGATTCTTATTCTGTAAATATATTCATATTATACAAACAGACATAGTCATGAATACATATGTTTGTCCTATGGAGCATCGAATCTACGATCATTAGAAGGGGAGTCCAGTCTGCTAAACTACTACGCCTCCGTCCGTTGTCGTCAATCACATAATAAATATTTATATATTTTCAATGCAAACAATTATTTATATAGTTGTATAGAGATAAATATTATAGCTACCATTTTAATATGGAACAACGATAAAAACTTCCGGTTTTCATCTCTTGAGTATTTTATACTTGGGTGCCGAATGCAATAACAGTAAACACTAGTACTTGACAGTGACAATTTTGAGGGTTCCAAATCTTTTTACAGATTAACAAATAAAATCATTATTATGAGAAGGTAAAAAGTATTTGTAAGCATATTGTTGCATAAACGCAGCTACAGAACTGTTAGGTAACAATACGTTGTTAGGTTTAGTACCATTAGTACCATCTCTAACACAAGAGGCACATTTAATATCATACGTGGCAATGAATGGCGCATGATCTGTACTGTAAGTATATTCTTTCATGACGATGACGACTGTAAAAGGGTGCAATGTCGTACCTATGTCCTTACATAGTACCTTTATCTTAATTAAGATTCATGTAGCCTAGATTGTAATCTGTAGACGTATACTCTTTAGTGAAAGAAGCAATAATAATTTGTATGTGTATGTAATAGTAATTAAATGAAATAATATATTTAAACTATGTTTTTATTGGTATTTTCACAAATTTTTAGGGAAATTTGATTTATTTTTAATTTAAACGATTGCTAATCTAAACTAATAGATGTTATAAAGAACAGAGGATAGATTTGTTTTTATATCGTTGCGGATATACTTAAAAATTATAGGTAAATATAACTAATTAAGCATTAAATATTCTTTTACCTTTTTAATTATATTAGCGAGTAACATGGGCTTTATTTTATATTCTCAATAAATTAGACATTGGTGTGACAATTGCATTTACAATGGATGTATGGACAAATACAAAGTCGCTAATAGTTAATGAATGACCTATATTACATTATCTCAGCAATCTTCGTTGTAGATGCGATTTAGAGAATGTACAAACTACATAATTAGACAAGTTTACTCTACAACTTTCCATCAGGACGTGAGCCGTTAGCTTGTCTACCGCTCCTAGTAAATATATGTACTATATACCTACCTATTAGTAGTGCGATAAACCCATTGCTTATATGAAATATTATCTTATCTCAACTAATATCAAGATTATCTGACTTACACATATGTATATGTTCCGATAACAGACATAAATAAATTTATCAATAACACAGTTGATGTCGGTATATTAATTCTCGCGTATACTTTCACTGCTCCGTCAAATAGGTAAGTAAAAATATATAATGGAAATGGATTATTACAAAATAATTAAGTATTTCGTAATGATTTACTACTACAAAATATTGGTAATTACCTATATAATTTGCCATTCTTACCATCGTGTGTGATTGGTGTAAGTTCGTAGTTTTAGTATAGAAAAGTATATAATATACAACGGAAAATCAAACGGACGGAAGGTTTAAAAACGATGACTAACTCAAATGTAAGCATGGATATGTATAAAGATACCATGCATTGAGGTAATATAAAATTTTATGAAAAGTATTATTTGGTATCAGGTTTATACTTGATAAAGGTTTATTTCTCAATACTTATTCGTATGTTGTCAATATCTAATCTACACTGATAGTGTGGAATGACAATAACGTTTCATGGAAGAAACATGAGATTAAGGGTTTTCATACAATACCGAGAAAATAAAATACAAAAAATGTGTTTTAAAACTGATCGTTATCCTATATCCTGATACCATAGGACACCCAACAGTATATTTATTAATATTTTTAAATTGTGTCACCTTAACAGGCGTTTCTTATAGATATTATTGTAAAGATAATTGCTATCTAATATTTGATTTCCTATTCACATATAGGTACTCTCTAAAACGTTAGTAAGCTTGTAGTGTTTATAACTAACTGCTTGTCATAAAATGCAGGATTCATTATATAGTAATTAAACATTTAATCTTACATAATGTAATGAAATAGTAATGAAGTGCAAAAGTTTTGCATAACGGTATGTATGTTACTACATACGGTATGTAGTACCATTTTAGTTCCAATTATATTTAAGGCTCGGTTCGATGCAAAGTTCAAGGCTCTATTGATCCACGGTGCAAGGTTGTAGTTGGTTATTTCCGTCGACTGTTTTCAGGTGTTACTTAGTTACAGTAACAACATTGCGTGGTTTACCTTTTATAGAAATAGATACGTGAGTAATTAACATATTAATTCAATTGGATCAAACAAATCTAAAAACACTATACCATAATCAGAAAAATAATAACAATTCGATGTCCATTTTTGTTAATTTCATGCGTTTATTGTTTCTGTATTAAATTAACACTCTACAATAACTATACCTACCAGTTAAATTAATGTCTAAGAAGAATTTATATTTCGTTTGTAAATTTTAATTTTAATGATATTTAAAGATTTTTATATTTAGATATCTAAACTTACTCGTATTATAATCTGGAACATCTATTATTCAGTAGTAAAGCAAATCCTTTTCATAATTAGTCTATATTGATTAAGACTCAAAACCAGAATAAAATATATTAATCTGGTACCTGTTTAATTTAGACATGCGTAAATGTGTCAGAAATGACGAAATTAATGTAAGTATATATACATATAATAATTTAAAATACCTATTTAGAAATATCTGTCGCTTACTAATATAATTACATATTTTTTTTAGAAATATTTATCGCTTTCATCATTATTATACATGTTTGGGATTGCTTTTTTATTGTTTTTTAATGAGAGCCGGCTATAATTACTGTTAGTCACTAGATGGTCACACTCCTCGAAGACAGTTCAGTGTCCGTATGCCTGTGAATTTGTGTCGCGTCAACGAGTTGCATTACTCTTATGTGACTCACTGAGACTTCTGCGAAGCGGTGCTTATCTCAAGGCGAGGTTTTACCTTTAGGTTTTAAGTTGGTAAATTATCGTCTAGTCGTAACTCGTGTCTGTAACATGAACACTGATAAGTACTCTACATCGTCGTCAACCACATTTCAAATAAATCAACCATTTTTAGGTCAAGGATAGTACTTATTATTATACAATAAGTAGTATATTTAAATTTTAAGGTAAGAATGTACAACTCCATGTAGAGTATGATGTATGATTAAGAGTATATAATTAGTGTTTAATTTTTTACTAGTAGCTCGTTCTGATTTATTTCCATTCCTAGTAAGGTCACAAATAGTAATAATTGTAACTACTCAAAAATCCCACTTTGCACATAGGAGAAGAGTTGTATACGCCATATATTAATACTATCGACTTATTGCAACCCAATGGGTCATGCTGATGGGGGTACGGTACGACCTCCCGTTCGGTTCATTAGGTTTCATTGCGTGCTTTATCCCTAGTTAAGCACCTGCGGTATTGATTTACTTGATCTTTGTGAGCCTTTGTGATGAGGTTAATAGCCTTTCTTAGAATTTGCTGATAATATTAAATTGCAGAATCTTATTAGAGTGTTTTTGTAGATTTTTCTCAATAAACAGTGATAGTAGTAGTAATGAGATTAATATAGCACAACTAGTTAGTAAACTTACTAACATTATAAATGCAAAAGTTTGTGAGTATGGCTGGATAGATGGATGGATGGATGTTTGTTACTCTTTCACGCAAAAACTTCTGAATGGATTTTAATATTTATTTACCACATAGGCTACAATTTAAGAATATGTCATATAAATTGCGCGATATGTCAAGTACGAGTATGTGTGATGTAAACAAAGGGTAAGCTAGTAACTTTCTTTCAATACAATAACAGTGACAAATCCACCATTCTTGGAACGACATAACATATACATATATTGTAATAATTCTTTGTCTAATGTTAAGGAATCCAGTCCGGAGCTGAGGAATCAGAATGATCAAACTCAACTGACTTATTGCCTTCATCTGAACTCCACATATCTAGAGTAGCAAGCAATTAACCTGTATTCTATACTTAAGAATTAAAATATTTAGTTTTTAAATTGTAGAAGATTATTCGTAAGTTTACTATTTACAATTTTATCTCAAATATTCTTTTTTTTTGCGAGAGACTAAATGTGTATTTAAATTTGTACATTTACTATTTGTGCTTTCAATGTCTATTCTCTAAGAAAGGTGTCATACATATTTTACTTTCAGCGTATCCAATAACGCTCCGTAACTAGGTTACCTCGGGCCATAACCCTTATCAGTGGAA